CTTCAATCGCCAGCGAAAATACTTTCCCCAGAAACAACAGATGAGATCCTCGCTTACATGACGGAAACCCTCTCGATATCGCACCAGGCTCCGTATTCATTGCAGGGCCTACGTCAAATAGTCAAGTCAAACCCGCCGATGCTCCGAGAATTTGTCGCCAGTCCTCAAGGCTCCGGCCTTTTGCAAGGCCTACTTCTCGCCTCGGAGTCTCCAGATGATGAAGTGGCACAGGGCGCCAAAGCCGTCAATGCTTCCATTCAGACAATACTATCATCCGGATCTGATTCGAAGCAATCTATCTACAATCTCATTCAGCAAGGGCTGCGAGACGCGACGCCCACATCGGTCTCGGTGGAGACTCTGGTTGACTTGGCAAAGCAGTCTGTCAAAGCTGGTGGTGACTGGAACGAGGCTGCTAAAGTGTTCCCAAGCATCGACGACTGGAATGCATCTCTGGAGCCATTCCTCAATGCTGTACCGAAGTCATCTCTGGCTATCACAAATCCCCTTGGTGGCGCCGTATATCTTGTGAAGGATGGACAGATGCCCTCCACGATCAGAACCATGTCCCGAGACGCCGATGGCTACTCTCCTGCATACAGAATCACGCAATACGTGGCGAGGCTTTTCAAGAACCCCGACTATTTCACCATGGACAAGCTTCCTTCTGAACTTCGGGCTGCCTATCTCCGCAACATTGCGATCGCTGTACAACTTGCAGATGATAATCTTGGCCTCGCTGGCGCGAACGGTTTCTGGGCGCACTACAACTCAGACGTTGAAGCCGAGGCCATGACCTTCATCACGGATGCTCAAACTCTTGTGACACACGAACTAAAGAGCCTTGCTGCGACGTGGTCGAAGGATGACGTCGACGCTACGCTGTTGTCCTGGGCCAACACACTCTTGGAGAGCATAGACGCCAGCGCGACATCTCCAGCTTACTATCACGCACGAGCGTACGCTGTCATAATCGCTGATGCCATTGAGATCGCTGGTTGGAAGAATTCACAGACTGCTCAACTTCAGGAAACACTCAAAACGACGCGAAGTTCAAAGAACGCCCTCCAGCTTCTTGCGTTGCTGAACGCCTTCAAGGAGCCACTGTCATATGCAAAGGCTTGTGAGCGCATGTGTAATGAGGTCATCGCCGATCTGACAGGTATCGATGCGCTGCAAAAGTCGCAAGAGGCACTTCAGCAGCTTGTTCTATTGAACAGTGTTATGGGTCAGGAGGGGATCTTAGAAAGCATCGCCGGTCCTCGTCTTATGCGGTTTGTTCAGCATGTGGTACCGTGGCTGCAAGAAGACGCACTCTCGCGTCCTGTCAAGGCCGAACTGTGTCGCGCGTTGACAATATTGCTTCCATTGGTCGGCGATATGTACGGCGAGCACTGGGCTGGCATCTTGGGTGCACTTGCCGGAATCTGGGCGACCACGAAAGAGCTGGAGTCAAACGAGTCCGGCATGGATAGCCCGATACCTCTCGTGCACGCATCCCTAAAACTATACGCACAGCTCCGAACTTTGACGCAAGCCGAAGAGCCCAACGACGATCTTCTCGACGCTTGGAAAGAAAATGAGCAACCAGTTGCTGATGGGCTTATCAATATCTTGAAGCATTCGCAGCACTTTCCGGATGAGTTCCATCAACCACTCAAGATGGTTAATGATGTGCTGGCGCGCCAGATTTCCAAGGTGTCGCTCAAGCATCTGGAGTCCACTGAAGAACTTTTCCCTCTTCTTTACGTTGAGTCGCAACCTGTTCAGCAAACTGCCTTCGACATCCTGCATAAGCAAATTCCCGCAGCTCAAGAGCAGATATCTATCGATGCGGCATTGGAGAAGACTACCGCGCGTTTACCCGAGGAGTTGCTATCTCTGATCATCGACGCGCCTACGGTTGCAGCGATTGCTGACGCTAACTTTGAACGCAGTGTGCCGTTGCCGTTGCGCGGTTACCTGTTGAGCTGGTTGCTGGTATTCGATCACCTGGAACATGCATCCTTCAAGGTCAAGAACGACTACGTCGAGCACATCAGAGAAGGTGAATACCTTCCAGGTCTGCTCGATTTCATGTTCGACTTCCTTGGCCACGCGCACAACAAGCCGGTCGACGTCTCCAAACTTGACATCACGATATACGAAGCAGATGTCGAGCCTCCAAAGCGCGATCTGCAGTGGCTACTTACACACTTGTACTTCTTGTGTCTGCGCGACGTTCCATCTTTGACAAAGACCTGGTTCAAGAGCTGCAAGTCGCGCGCCATAGTCGTTGCGCTCGAGCCTTGGACGGAGAAGTACGTGTCACCACCTGTGATTGTGGCCGCCCTCAACGCAGTCAACGCATGGTCAGAGGAACAGGCTGCATCTGAGCCCGATTCAGCATTCGCGGTCAAGGTCGTTAACCGCGCACGCGAAATCACCGCGTCCTACGTTGTCGACGAACAAACTATGGCGATGAGGATCTCTCTGCCTGCCGCATTCCCTCTCGCAAATGCCCATATCGAAGGCCTGAATCGCGTTGCCGTCAACGAACAGAAGTGGCAATCATGGCTGAGGACTTCGCTGGGAGCTATTACGATCTTCAACGGCAGCTTGATCGATGCGCTGACCACATTCAAGAGGAACGTCGATGGAGCGCTCAAGGGCCAGATCGAATGCGCGATCTGCTATAGTATAGTCGGATCCGATCGCAAGTTGCCTGACAAGAAGTGTCACACTTGCAAGAACTTGTTCCATGGCGTTTGTCTGTTCAAGTGGTTCAAGAGTAGTGATGCCTCGAGCTGTCCACTCTGCAGAACTAGCTTCAACTATGCATAGACTAGAGGGATCGATCACGTGTGGTAGACTAAAACATCATTGGCAAGAGGTAGATAATACAAGAAGATCAATTTTCGGAGTCAGTTTCCATCATAGAAGGTGTTGGTGTTCCTGCGCATAGCATGAACCTCGGCTGTACCTGAACTTACCCCACATCTACGCTACAGTATACCGAGCTGAAGCTGACAGTCGCCCAAGCTTACTCATAGTTTGCATCCGTAGACTAACTCATCTTCATGCGTATCTTCATACTGCATCTTAACATTTAACAATCTTTTGCCACCCGACCAACACCATGCCACCCACCGCCCCCCAACCCACGCTAGAGTTCAACTACGACATCTCCTGCCCCTTCGCCTACATAGCCTCGACACGCGTCCAATCCCTTGCTCAACGCACGCACGCAAATCTAATCTACAGACCCGTCCTGCTAGGCGCCATCTACCGCGCCACATCCGCCCCGCAAGGCGCCGGCGGCTCCGCCTCCGATGTCTTCAACTCCGCCAAAAAGGCCGTCACAGCACAGGGTATGCAGCGCACACTACGCAGATACAACATCCGATACAACCCTCCGCCCCAGCACCCCCGCAAAACAGTTAATGCACTACGGTTACTGTACTGTGTGAAAGATCAGGAGAAGAGGAGGCTGCTTACGGATAGGTTTTTCCAGGCCTACTGGGTAGACGGCCAAGATGTGAATTCCAACACAACGCTTTTGCAGATTGCGAGGGAGTGTGGGGTGCAAGGGCTAGGAGAAGAGTGTTTCGCCGATGTGAACGCGAGGAAAGAGTTGGAAAAGAGTACCGAAGAAGCGATCCAGAGAGGTGCGTTTGGTGTTCCAGGCTTCTGGATCCCGGATGCGTTTTGGACGGGGGTTAGTGGCGAGGAGAAGAAAGGGAGATTCTTTTGGGGACAGGATCGTATGCATTTTGTTGAGGCGACGTTAAATGCGCTTTCTTCTTCCGAGAAGGGGAAGCAGTGGAGTAGCGTCCCTGGACTCAAGACTTTGATGCCTCGCTGCGTACCCAAGAATGCTCCTCACGGTCGTGTCAAGCTCGAGTTTTGGTTCGATTTCAGCAGTCCCTGGGCGTTTCTGGGGTACACGCAACTGGAAAGACTGAAGAGTAGTTTTGGTTCGGGACTGGAGGTTGTTATGAAACCATTCCTGCTCGGTATTCTGTTTAGAGAGATCGGTGCGCCGAATCTACCAGGGTCGGCGGTTAGTCCTGCGAAGGCGAAATGGTCGAGGCAGGATCACGCGGACTGGACGGAGTACTGGAACGCTGTCAGTGCGCAAGATGGGGGTCGACAGGTCAAGTTCCATTGGGCCGATACGTTCCCTATTCGGACGCCGACTGTGTTGAGGGTTGCTATTGTGGAGCCAGCGACTACAAATTTATTGTGTAAGTCGCGCTTTCGTTATGTTCTAGTACGCCTTGTACATCTCATGCAGCATGCTAATCAGGCACAGTCGAAGCGTGCTGGTCGCACAACCAAAACGTCTCGGACGATTCTGTCCTCCGCAGTGTTCTTGACGAAGGCGGTTTCAACGGTGCTGACCTCATTGCGCGGGCGAACGATCCCGAGATAAAAGCCAAACTACGAGCTTTGACTGCGGAGGCTAAGAACTTGGGTCTTTGCGGCGTACCTACGTATCGTGTGTTGAGGCAAACAGATGCGGGCGAGTGGAAAGCAGTTGGTGGATTGGTGTGGGGACAGGATGAGATCAATGTTGTAGAGGACATGATCGCTGGGTGGAATCCAGAGAGCTCGAGTGAGGTTGCTGAGGTGGCAAAGGGAGAGAAGGGCGCAAGTGCGAAGTTGTGAACGCGGCATATGGGCTGTCCCGGGGAAGCGAGAGTATCGCAGCCTTGACAGCTTACTGGCCCGATATATGGCTCACGAGACATCAATGCATGGAAGAGATCTGTTTGTGGACAAGTTTGTCACGATCAAATTATCGTGGTGTACCATGGTTCATAAGATAGGTACATACACATGTCGTTAACCAAAAGCAAACCGTTACGCCAAAACCATGCGCCTTTCCTGGGTATCAAAAGTGGAAGTGTATCTATCTTTCCGGGGTATTTGTTCGTTTCTCGTGTCGAGTTGTAGCGAAAGTATAGCAGATCATGCTCGAGTGCGTGCGTCTTGTGGATGTAGAAGGGTTGACAAGCTCATGCTGACAAGTCGATGCCACCGTAAGCACGGCGCTTCCTCCTCTTGCTCGCAAGTTGGGGGCTCCAGATGCCGCTGAAGAGGTCCTCGCATTCGTCTTCGTCCTGCGAATCGAACTCGATGTCACCTTCCTTCTCCAGCACCATGCCGTTGTCTTCCTCTTCTACGCTCTCGTCCCATTCCGCGCCTTTGACGACTCTCTTGGTCTCCAGTATGAATTTGCCGACCTTGTACTTCTGAGTCTCTTCAGCAGCATCGACGTACTTCCATCCTAGCACGGTACCACAGCTGCGACAGCTGATATCGGACACGGTATGCGCACCCGTGACGAGCTGACGAGCGTGGGCTTTGTGCGTCAAGGTGTTCGGTAGGTCGCCCGCCTTCCAGCCTGTCGCTGACATGTCACCACCAGCAAACGCGCTGGATGCCGATGGGGGTCCTACAAGGTATGCGCGGCCATGACGCCCAGTGAACCCTTTGCTTATTATGGCCGACGTGGGGATGAGGTCAGCTAGGCACTTCTGACAGCGGAGATGTGAGTTCGGTTTGGCTGTCAAGAAAGAGGTCGGCAGGGGTGGAGACGAGGACGGAGATGTGGAGGCGGTCGAGGTGCTGATGGCAGAGCTTCGGCGTCGGCGGAAGGAAAGGCTAGGGAATAGGTAGAGAGGGAATGGTTGCGTTGGTGAGCTCGGCATGGTGACTACAGAGGATTGGTCGGAATATTAGTGGTGGTACAGTGATGCGACTATCGCCTGGCGCTATGGGAAGAAATGTTATTCGAGGTCTTCGGACGGCTGATCTATGAGGTCTCGCTTTTTGCTGCTTGGTGGAGATCGTGACGTGAGAATGGTGTAGTTGTGCCGCCTGATGAACGTCCGGCCGGTGTTGGCTCAAGTAGGGTGAAAAGAGTGACTACGCGATTCGCCAGTGAGCGGCAACGAGGCTCTTTATCCTTAAGCTCGGGATAAGCAAGAAGCTCCCGGGGGAGGCTGCCCGCACTTTGAGGCGTGTCGACGCGAAGGAGCAGATGACGCGCCGAAGACGGATGCGGAAATGTCGCGATAAGCGATAACGGGCGCCACAGCCGAGGAGGCGGGGTGGCGAGGCAAAACAGATGTCGCACCTCAGGCTCTCGACATCGACAGGGCAGACAAACTGATGCGTTCAAACTTTTGGGTTCAGTATTTAGCAGACAGTAAAAGTGCTAGCAATAATATATATAGTGACTATGGCGGTGAGTATCACGTTCTTGCGATCATCATCCGGCGAAGGGTGCAGCCAATACTTATGCGACACCAGATCATGCGACCATCAAACCCGGGCGTGTCGTCACGAGGTGCGCTGGCGCTCTCCGATTGTGCCCGGGCAGTACTTCCACTACATTTGGTCTATTGCATCCTTGCAGTATCCTTGCCATGATTTACAAATACTGGTATCTTGTTTGACCGGCACTTGCCTAATCACCAGCAGACGCGCCGTTGGTCTTGCCATGACCGCTGAAATCATCGACGCCTTATGACCATCTATCGTATAGCAACCAGCACACTTTATGCTGCGATTTCATCGCTCCCACACGGTTTCAAGCTTTGGTGTCAGGATGTCGACGACTATCGACGAACGTGAGACTCGGTACAGCTTCCCAGCTTCGTAGGCGCGATTGCCATGATCAACATGTTTCCTGGCCTGCTGGGTTTCGGCACTTTCTGAGCAAGGTTGAAACCACCAGGCTACAAGGACCGAACAATCGCGAACTCAAAATGCAGTGTTTGGCGATGGGGTATTCTACCAGAGTGTTCACATGAGATTTTGTATTTCACAGAGGCTGCTTAGCTACCTCAGCTCGATAACTATGTGGTTTCATCACTCCACTCAAGAGTGGGTATTCTCTGAAAGCTACTTTCATGTTTGGGTCCTTTTACGGTGCCATCAAACCACGAGTTTGCTAGATCGCTGACCGCTTGATCGACAAATGGTACAGAATAGCAATCCAGACCTTATACATCTGCCCCATCCACGCATCTCAATCAACTTCTCGTGTTGAACCAGAGTCAATGAACACGATGGATGTCGCCGCGCGAATAGAATTCGAAGAACATCTCAAACTGTTAGACCATTCAACAACCCGCATCAACCGAGTATTGTTCGAAGTTTTGCAGCACGTTGGACTGCAACTCCTTGATCTTGACTCAGTACACACGGCAGAAGCTCAACCCTTGCTTACATTCGTGGTTAGTCAATTCCTGAAGCCAAATGAATGCAATGCATGTACTGACTTTGTACACCTGTTTCCAGGCTAATCATGTCTCTTTAGACAATCTAGATCAAGGTTTAGCGTCTAATTACTCATCTGAAGTGAGAACGGAGATCGCTTCTCTCTCTGACGGATGGCCGATGTTGCACCGGGAAAGGACCAGAGACTACTATCGAGTCTACACTGCAGATGCAGCACTGTTCGCTCGGACATTGGCGTATCGCGCCGAAGGTCAGCCCTTTTTCAAGCTTATTGAACCTCCCCGTTTCAATTTAGACATCGACACATTCAAGGAGTCCATCGCAAACCCCTACCTCGCGGCCCGAATACTATGGCTAAAGCAACGTCAAGCTAAAGGCAAAGAACAGTATCCAACCGAAGGGCATTATCGTGAGCTTACATTGGAATATGGAAGCTTACGCAAGGGCCTGAGCGATCGGATGCAAAAAGAGTACCTCGATGAACAAGGAGGTCGAAGCTCTACGTGTCTGGAGTGGTACCTTTTCACCGGTATGGTTTCATACTTGACCTGTTGTCGGTACAAGCAAGCAGGGTTCATTGGTGAGTTGGATGCAGTGCTGGATGAGCGAAGCGTTGCTCTCAGCGAAACTTCATCTTATGACGGGAATGACAACGAGGCCACAGAAGACGAGAACGATCAAAATGCTGATGAAGACAACGACAATATGGAGGGCATCGTACCATCCGACTCCCAAGACAACGGCCATGACTCTGACACGAGCAGGGAGGTCTCACCTAGTAAACGACCACCAATCTACCCAGCGGTATCGGACTTCACCACACCTTGTACCGAAGAAGCAATGGCAGCGAGTGATGAGACCGACCGCCGCTGCTATGCCTGTTATTACGATTACAGAGTGTCCTTCTCGCATTCGAACAGAACCGAGCCAGCTGTCCGTACTCCCTGCGGCCACGTTCACGGTATCATCTGTCTCAAGAAACACCTGAAGAAAGGCAGAGCCACTTGTCCCGTATGTCGTGGAAGACTGTTCGGGTTTGATCAGCGCCTTGATTCCCATGAAAGCGGCATGTATGTTCGTCTGGTGCAGGCTATAGATGGCATCGCCAAGCTAGATCCGGCTATCGATCGCTATCTGTTGGAGGGTCAGAAAGAAACACATAACTTCGACTTTGCGGAACTTCTCGGAGACCTCTTCAAGCTTTGTGCGCGTACTATTACTTGTCGGTCTGAACTGCGAAAAGCGATTCCTGTCGAAGTCGCATCGGAAGGGTTGTAAGCTGGCTTGTAGGAAGACGCTGGGTCATAACGAGATGGACATGAGATGGACGCGTCTTCCGAGGATGCATGGTAAGTAAGCAATGGCAATAACCTCCATAGATTATGATAGAACGTCTTCCCACAGTTTGCAGACAACCGCGGCTCGCTTGCGAACCAGAATGCGGGTTTCTATGACCTCATAACTACACACATTATGACCAGAGGTCTAAGTCTCCTCTTCACAGTGACTTCCCTTCATAATGACATCAGAATACCCACCAGAGCGATACACTAACAAATATGTCTCTTGCGATGTGAGACTGTTACTAGTTATAAATCGACGCTAGCTTTAGCTCTCACGAATGAGAGAAATCGTAAGTATAATATACTGCGGACACCGACTTCAGAGCTACTGTATTGTGAAACAAATCTACCAAAATACACATACTCAATAATACCACAGTGATGTAAAGTCTCCTATTCGTTTCACGGAACACCCAGATTAATCCAAACAGTTCCACAACGAATAGCAACTGCTTGTGTAAACATGTCCCTTGGTGAATTTAACCGACATAGGAGAACGTCTCCTCCACCCAACCGGTCATTCCGTCTCCTCCCCTTGCTTGTTGTCGCCAAAGTGCCGAGTAAGCTTCCATCGCCGCCATACGCTGTTCCATCGCCGTGATTTTGGCTTGCACATCTGCAAGCGTATTTTGTTCTATTTGGTTCAGTTCCAACCCCCAACTGATCTTCCCCTGGAGCATTGCCACCTCATGTTGTATACCAGCCTGTGCTTTGATGGCCGTTGCGTGACTGCACCACATGAGCCCTTCCAAGAAGTCGCCGATGAGCAGACCTGATTGCCTCAGTTTTCCCCAAGAATGGAGAATATAGGTGAACTCGGGTGCCGCTGAAAGCAGGAACCCCGCCGGCTGAATACCAACGTCATGTGTCAACTGATAATCTGCACATATAGATTTCACGACTTCGACATGTTCTGCGAGGTCCATGGCATTCTGAAATACCTCATATAGGGGTTCGGCCTCTTGATAAAGTGTTCCATGATATCCGAGTCGAATAGTGATGATTGCATTAGATCCACCGATACAAAGTTGAGGGATATGTTCCAGAAATCGGAGCAATGGGTGCAGGTTATCCCATCGGAAGCTAAGGTGAAACGTGCCACACTTGCCGCAATGAACGTCCCCAATGTTACCCATGAATATACTGGCATCGTCGGCCGTTGAGAGTCGATGGAGTACGGCTGGGGTAAAGATTTGTCTGTGCAAATCGTAAAGCCTGAATGTTCCACCTTTTTTGCCAAAGGTTTTTCCAGCTGGTGCATCAGGGTCCAGTAACGATCTAGCGCCTTGCTCAAGACTGTGGAAAGTATTTTTCAACTGTTCTCCAAACGGCAGGCTTCGGTAAGTCAATTTTGCGGTCGCTTCGTTCAAAGGCTAGAAGTGTGGATTATCTCCTGGCTCCACCGGTAAGGCGCGCTTGTAAAGGCCTGGCTGTATCTCACGTACATCCCGAACACAGTCGCGCCATCGTTTGCAAACCCGCTCTACACGTAGTAGATCGAAGATGCTGAGATGGATGAAAATTGTGCCGAGGAGCTCAGGTGTGGCCGTAACTTGCAGTGTAGCCGGGCGCGTGTGGATGCTTGGGTAGGTCATGATGAGAACAGAGTTGTTGATAGAGGAAAGAAGGAGTCAGCGAGGTTTTGTACAAAGCGGACAAACATGTTACAGTGGTGACTTGATTGTGTGCGACGACATTGAAGACTCGCTCATACTACGCGTCGAGTAAACGTTTGGGCTTGGTCGAATTCAGGATCAAGCGTTTGAGTTACCAGACTCACAGGAAAATGTTTGCAGAGGGACACCAACGATCAGGCGTTCGCGTGGTCACGAATCAACTGTGACCAAGCGAAGTCTGGAGTGTGAATCTCTTTGCTCCAAGGGACCAAACGACAAACTACAAGTCTCTGACATCTTATTGTAGAGCATCTAGGCAGGAAAAATTGATTTTTTTATGCGAACCGCTTGCAACCGTTTGTTGGTGGTCGAGAAGGAGTCAAGAAGTTGGTGAGTTGCCCGGGTCGAAATCCAGCCTAACTGCGCTAACCCAAAGCCCGCTAGTGCTCGGACCGGATGGCAATTACGTCACCACTGCCGTCCATACCTCCTTACTCAACGCCATCGGTAGCCAGACCTCTCACGCGATTACCACGCGCAGCAATCGCACTGATCCTCCTCTAGGTCGTCGCATGGGCACGGAAACCAGCAACGTGTCACACCCTCCACACGGTCTTCAAGCATTTTCGCTAGATGCTTTAGGCACTGCTGGCTAACAGTGGGGAAGAGGCTAGGGCGAAGAGTACGCTGATTTGCCAGCAATGAGAGCTACGGATCGGATCAGATGAGGGAAGAGTCGGGGGAAGAGATACAAGTTGGACACGCACGAACATAACAAGAGAGAACAAGAGAGTATTTGTATTCGGTCATGTGAGAACAGACTTCGTTTACTCTATACGAAGCAGACACTCGTGTTTGCCGTTGTGACGCGGATCTCGATATCTCAGTGGGAACGAACTTGGTTTGGCCATGTGACACCAGACTCTGGTCTACCGAGACGAACGCTCAAAATTGAAAGAAAGAAGATAATGATCCATGATGCGAGAGTTCCTGCTCCTAGATACAAGATCAGTCGCTGCGATCTCTGGGCGTATTCGTTACCTCAAACACGAGCTGCTTGGTCTTCATCCAGGTAACCTTCCTGCAAGCAGGGCAACTCCTCCTGTGCCTCGTCGTACAACTGAGCGATATAGGCCTTGTCCTCCTTCCATGTCTCAGCATATATTCCACTTATGACATAAGACTCGTTGACAGTCAGTACCTTAGCGCGACCGCGTGTAAAGGTCAGGTCACAAAATCGCAGAAGAGCGCGTAGCACTTGCCCCAACTTGAGGCCATCTTGATCACGAATAATGGTATTCCCCAGACCCACGGGGTCGGGACCTTCGACGCAAGACAGAATGAGCCTTGTGCACACGGGCGCCATGAAATGATGTTGAAGAATACCGCGTTGCTTTGCGGTTTCGTAAGCGTCGCTCACAGCCCTGGCAAACAACGCTAGAACGTACACATTATTGCGGCCAGCCATGCGACCCTCAATTTCGTCCAATGCAGGCCCCATTCGGTAATCTGCACTTCCGAAATTCCCAAGAGCGAAGCGAAAGAGCAGTTCTGAACCATAGCCTCGACCGCAGATTTCGTGGTTGTGTAGGAAGCGGAGAGCTGGATGTAAGCCCGAGGCAGCGTATGGAGGGTGAAGACGCCGGCAACTGTCGCACCTGAACGCATGTTGCCGAGGTGTTAGAATGAAGAAAGTTTGAAGGGAAAACGTGTATTTAAATTTCTCGGACGGATGCCATAGACGTTCCCGTTGCAGCTCTCGCGCCACGGCTGCGATTACCTCATCCTCGCCTGCCTCGATTGCGTCATAAAAATCCCATTCCATGCGACGAATCCCCTCTAGGGCCCATTCCACCTCCTGGTAGCTCAGCTTGCGAGGATACGTGGACATGATCTGTGGCAAATCTGGGTAATGTGGGTCTTCGTCATGTGGAATTGGGACGGGAAGCTGCCACAAGCGGCGTTGAATGCTGGGTGTTCCGTCGACGATGGTCTTTAAGACCTTTGAAGTTGCTCGAACATGAATTAGATCGTGAATATCCGGCAAACGGTTCAGGATGTTTTCCGTGAGCTCTGGTATGGCCAACGCAGTTTGCGCAATTGACTGTTGTGACGTTTCTTCGAGTTGTAGGTCCATAGCCACGGTGTTATCATGTGCTGTAAAGGGGACTTCGGGAGGGTTGGATAATGACTTAGAAGTTCTTACTTCGCTCCAAGGATGTTTTAACATACTAATGAGGAACAGAAGTTAGGGGCATTTTCCCTCTGAGCTGACAGCAGCCCATCCTGCCCCGACCAGTATTTCACTGTGAATACACACCGCCAAAGGTGAAAGCGCTAGAGTCAAGTGTGCGCATTCCTGAACGAATGTTTATTGCCTACAGTGTATTTTAACATTGTACAGCGTTGATTGTTCCGTGTCTCTGATCAGAATGAAGCGAATGATATGATCAGACAGATTTATGTACAAGCGGTAACCGATGAGGCTGCGTAGAGCCACCAATATGTGTCCTGATAAACTCAAGCAGGCTGCGCAAAAGTGCTGCCGATAGGCCCGAACTTGATGTTCGAGAAGACGACTTGCGCGTTCGGATTGGCAGACTCAACATCAGCCGGCACACCGCTGTTGATGTCGCACTCGCCGCGAGCGACACCAGGCTGCTCCGGATCCTTGTCGGTAGGGTAGCTGCTGTCAAGCCAAAGCATATTGGCGTAGTGGTCGTCCCAGAGACTCATGACGAGTACCATGCCCAGGTTCATACCCCTACCCATGGACTCCATGCCGCCAAACTCGTTGAAGGGGTAGACTTCCTCCTGGAAGACTTCCTTCTGCGTGTTGCACCATTCTTGGGTGATCGAGTTGCCTGTCTGCGCGATTGTCAGAACGGAGTTCATAAGGCTCGGTGACGTGAGCACATACCATGCCAGGGACTGTAGGCTCCGGGTTGGCGATGACTTTGCCGTTCTGCACATAGAAGCGCTTAATCTCGCTGAGCGATCCTCCAGATCCCAAGAACTGTGTGACGACTGTCACCTTCTTTGATGTGTCTACACCAGACTTGCCCTTGCCATAAAAGTCTCTCGCGCCGACACGGTACGGGTTGAAGTCGCAACCATTCGCATCGCAGGAGCCGGCATAGCGATCGAGCGAATATGTTCCACCACATGTATCGTCTGTGCAGACTGAGTAGCCTTCAGGCTGACAAGAGTGTGGGGTCACAGCCGTGGAGACTGAGTTTGCCTCCCAGATGTCCATCTCAGTGCTGAGTTGCGTCAGAATGGGCCAGGCCGAGCAGACTGAAGTACTCACCAGCATGCACCATTCCTGCCAATACCCGCATTTGGGTCAGATTCGGATGCTTGCCAACCTTCTGCGTTGGCTTTGCCATCGATGTACTTCAGGTCTCGAGCACATTGAGCGTCACAGTAACCTGGGATGTATCAGTTCACGCTCTATAAATAGCGAATCCTGTGACGTGCCAGTCCCGTACTTTGCACCGGGCGCACCGTGGCCCTTCTGGGGCATGGAAACGAAATATAATGCTCCATTGAGACCGCATGGCAACTGCGAGTTGTCGACGTCGAAGGTGAATTCGTTTCCGACAAGGTTGAACATCTAAACAGCGAACAGCAATAATCAGCGTCTGTGTCATACCTAGATCTGGTGCGCTGCCCTACCTCATAGTTGTTTGCATCTTTCATGAGGTACGTGCGAGAGCCTATGTTGGTGGAGTATTGGTTCTCGGTAACGAACTTGAGGGTAAGAGCATTGCCCGAGGTCGTAATGCCGTAGGTACCGCGGTAGTCTGAGCCTTCGATAGCACAGTTCTTGGTACATGCGGCGTTGGTCGCACACGCCGTGGTGTTCCACTCGTTTCCGTCGAAGCAATTGGTGTAGCCTCCCACGGAATGGAGCCAGCGCCAATTAGCATCAATGACAATCTCTCCGTTGACATTGGTACAGCTGTTACCACCGCTGCCTGTGCAGCGCTGCCAGGTCATCTTTGGGTGAGTTTCGGACTGCTCCGTTCCAATGACCCAGGCGGATGCGCGGGAGGCGCAAACACCCAGAAACACCGCAAGGTTCGAAGTCGACAACATGATGAAAGGGAAGACTGTGAGCTGAATGAAGGATGTGGGTTGTCACACCGTTATTGAACTACATGATGCTGCCAACTTATAGGATCGTTTCACAGCTTCGATCCTGGCCATGCTTGTGTGCAAAGTACACAATGCATATTGCCCAGTCTTCAGAAGCCCGACAATGAGCTCATGCAATATGAGGAACTGATCATGCGATAATCTCTGACGGATTGATGAACATCTGGTCCGCCTTGGGAGTTGAGAACTCATTGATGGACGCGATCAGGCTGTCACTTCGTTCCACAGCTAAGTTTCCAAAATGGTATCCCAATCATGTGCATCTCGGCGTAGTGCGCTTCGTATGGATATTTCAATGTTGCCAAGCAATTCCACTTCGGTATATGAGGTCAAGAGCCGTGGCGCTAAAGGTGCAGTGCGGGGTTAGCATGCGAGCAACGAATCGAAGGTAGTGGTTCAATGCATCGCGAATGTACCGATAGCTAAGCATTCTTGGTGCCTCTCCCCGGACAATTTGTATTCTTGGATCTCGCAAGGGCAATTTGTGGATGCACAGATGGCCAGGGTGTATCATGCATGCTGCAACGCGTAGAAGGCGGGGTCGCGAATGGAGAGTAATCAACTCAATCGCTGCGTCTATCCAATTGGCGGGCTTTATGACTACTCGTTGGCATCGAGACCACGGGGTCCTTTGTTATCTGGAACGCTCAAGTATGTGACAAGCTTGAGAGAAGGCTCTCTCGCCGTGTGGGGGTGCAATTCGGAGCCACCAGAGTGCCGCGTCGTCACAGGAGGAAGGGTATAGAGTGCCGAGGGCTTGGGCTCGAGTGTTTCATATGGATTTCAGACGAGGTATTGATCACTGTGTCATGTGTTTCGTCCTTTCAAGTCTGCCATCTTTCATATGCCAGCTACAGTTCAGTATGCTCGCCATGAAGGCTCACTGAATTGAGCAGTCTTCCACGACTTGATCAAGTGTCGGTGTTGCCAGGTATGTCCATCCAAGGTAATCATCGTGACCGAAGGCTACATTCGTGACAGCGTGCGATTATCGTCGACACTGCATGGCTGTAGCGTAGGGCTGAAAGTCGTGCGACCGGTTCCGAACATAGACGCATGCTGCAGTATGCCCATGGTGGAGTACGTTGTTCAGCCCATCTGGCGAGGGCAGTTAAAGCCCGGGCACGTCTAGATGGCCCGCGATTAGAGCCCTAGTGTGTTTGGAGCCGGCCTTCTTCCTGTAAGCATCGCGCTTGATCGTGGAGAGATGATAGGAGGAATACTGCCGAGATGGCTTATCGTGCGGACGGGTGCGGCGCGTCGGAAGAGCGGGAGACCTGGGATGAACGTGAGTAGGTAGCCGAGAGATGTATAGGGACTCGCGGTTGTTCTACCAGCAGGCATGTATTCAAATGAATCGCTGCGCGATGTCGTGGGTGTCGTGTTACTATCCTGTCGCGTCTGTTGGTGCCACGGGTGCGGATCTGCGCCTTGGCACCGCGCGCGTCATCGTTCTCACAATCTTCTTTTAATCTCGCAGAGATACACCAAGAATGACCTATGTTCGCGTACAGCAAACATCCCAGAAACGTGAATTTTTAGTTCCGCATGTAAAACAACACCTGTGGAACGCGCCTAGAGATGCCGACGAGATATGAGTAGAAGACCAGGTACTGGAAGCTGCCCAAGTATCAACCCACCAACTTCTAATCTACATCTACATCCGTGTCAGAGTCCACCCGCAGGACAAGGACCAATTCTAATCATTATCAAGCTGAAGCGCGATCAGGCTCATCGCCTTTCGTGTGGCACACAATCTCCAATGGTTGCAACTTGGTAAACATACCATCACCCTCTGCTCGAGCCTGGCATGTCACCACAATTCTTCAAGTGCATGTTCACACCTCAAAACCATGCCAGGTCTCCATCCTTCTCCGTTCTCCTCATGTTGATCCCGGCCTCGAATCTTGCCCGGCCGTCTCACGTTTCAATAGCAGACATCGTTATTGGCCGCTCAGCCAGCTTGACCTAACCCAAAGCAGCAGGCACACCATGCATCGCGCCCCTAACGACAATATCGCGTAGTTTTGTGGATTTTTCCTCGAAACATCGGAGCCCCGAAGGGCTATAGCGACATGGACTGCATATGCACATGGATCAGCGGGAAGTCTAGGTTCAGCCCATTACTTGGAGACATGTTGGGATATAAGACCGCCTCGACGACCATGTTCATGGAGTCAGGCCGCCCTCATTGATCTTGACAACGTCCGCCACAGAATGAAAACGTTCACGCGATGCCTCGTATGGGCGAGTGTGGTCACACCGTTCGTCGCAGCCCAGACCGCCAACGTTACACTCGTCGCAGCCGCGACTGGAATCGAGGGCGACAATACCAACTTCGTCTACGGCAAATCACCTTTACTGGTCACCAATGATGGAAGTGCTGCCGACGGTGGCTTCCGGATATTCTCTGGCTCCAACTCCTCAAGCTTTGCAGAGAAGTCGCATCAGAAGACTGGTCGCTCGAAGATTGCTGTTGCTGTTCACGACATCGACGGTAGGGATCTGATCGTCAACATCCCAGCTCCAGATTCTTTGATCAGGGTCTTTGATGCTCAGAATGGGGAAACGATCGAAAGTAATAACAAGAAGCAGCTGGGCGACTGGAGTACTGCGTGCGTGTGGCGTAGTGGGAAGAGCGGACAGAGTTACATCTTCCTCTTTGGAAAGAAGATGGTCGTGCAGTTCTTGATTCGGGGCAATGAAAGCCGGGTTGAGATTCTGGAGGTACTGTTGTCTCTTGATCATGGCTAAAGACAGTAGTACTGACAAAGGTCATAGGTTCAAACTTTTCCCGTTGCTATCGAAGGCGAAACTTGCGCCGTATTCGCGAATGGCGGGATCTTCTTTTCGGCCGAAGATCGACCATTGTACTCTTTCCAAGCGTCAGAGTCTGTCCAGGCACCCGAGATCAAGACTGTTACCGAGGACATCGAAGTTGCGGGACTTGCTACTTACCACAGCGCATCCGCCGACTATCTGTTCGTAGCCCACGACGAGGTCATCGATGTGTACGACTCCGACATCAAGCAGAAGGGAAGCATCTCATTGAGCGGTATCTCTGATCTTTCTATCGAGGGCTCGCTAGCCATCCTTCAATCTTCAGTTGCTGGATACCCATCTGGCGCATTCGCCTTCGCTTTTGAGGGAGAAGATGATACTGGGGTAGCTGTAGGTTCTCTGGACGGTGCGCTCAAATCCATGGGCATCAAGGCAAACACACAGTACAGTCCCAACAACAAGGCTTGCAAGCACTGCGAAAGCTCCGTCACCAAGAAGTGCTCCAACAATGGCTTCGTGTCAGGCAAGGACTGTTCCTGCTTTGCCGGCTTTACTGGTCGCGACTGCTCCAAGATCACCTGCGAAAACGATTGTTCTGGACATGGCAAGTGTACCGGCCCAAATGTCTGCAAGTGCAAAGATGGGTGGACTGGCCCAGACTGCTCGTTCGTCGCGGTCACCGCAAAGTTCGAGACTGATGCAAACGGCGGAGACGGCGATGACCCTGCGATTTGGATCCACCCCACTCGACCAGATCAGAGCAAGATCATTACCACAACAAAGTCTGAAGAGGGCGAAGGCTTTGGTGTCTTCGATCTGCAGGGAAGACTTCTTCAGCATTTGACGGCTGAGGAGCCAAACAACGTCGATGTCATCTACAACTTCACTCTCGGTTCCCGGAAGGTCGATCTCGCATTCGCAGCATGCCGCGGTGACAACACCATGTGGTGAGTACCATCGCATGACTTCTTACAACATCTGCTAATGCATCGCCAAGCCTGGTCGAAGTAAACAGCACAGGCTACCTCAGCACTGTTTCTGGTGGTAAGCAAATGCTACCGAGAGACTACGAACCCTACGGCTCCTGCAACTACCGCTCTCCGACCACCGGAAAAGAGTACCTCTTCGTCAACAACAAGGATGCGCAATACCTACAGTACGAACTCAGCGCGACCGCGAACGGCACCCTGCAGACTACCCTCGTCCGCGAATTTCAAGGCGGCTCAGGCGGCCAAGTCGAAGGCTGCGTCGCGGACGAAGGCGCCGGCTACCTCTTCATCGGCGAAGAACCACTCGGTATCTGGCGATACGAAGCCGAACCCACTGGCTCAAACAACGGTGTTCAGATCGCGCAAGTAGGCGACGCCAGCGGCCTCCACGCCGACGTCGAGGGCATCACTCTCGTGCCAGCCAAGTCAGGTCCGGGTGGCTATATCATCGTTTCGTCGCAGGGCATCTCAGCGTACCTTATCTACGAGCGCGCGCCCCCGCACAAGTACGTGGAGACGTTCACTATCATTGATAACAAGGCAAAGGGCATCGACCACGTTAGTAATACGGATGGATGTGCTGCTGTGGGCAACGCGCTGAATAAGGACTTTCCAAATGGGCTTTTCGTCACGCATGACGATGCTAATGAGCTGGCTGGTGGAGGCACGGCAAAGGAGGCGAGCTTTAAGTTGGTTAGTCTGGGGGATATCTTTGGCAAGGAAAGGGTGGCGAAGCTGGGGTATTAGAGGTGGTTCTACAACAGGCTGTGAAGTTAGAGACGACGTTATCATTATCCAGCGATTGATGCAAGATCCGCCGCACCTCATACGAGAACAAAACTAAACAGGTCTGCAGAATATCTCACGATCGGAACATACAACGTAGGTGGCCTGAAGTCAAGGTAGGCTCTAATGCCTGGTACCGTTCTCTCTCAGCTTGACGCTCCGACACCCCAAGACCTATGTTCCTCGTACCGCCGCCTCAGCTCAGCCTGGTCGTCCCTCCGCTGCAGCATCTCCATCCAGTCTGCCCGGCGCGGGCGATCTTCGTGAGTGGCTAACAGGGCGGCTTCTTCAAAGTTCTCGATGGGCATTTCTTCTACGCATGTGTCGTTAGTAAGGGTAACTTGAGGGAGCTGTTTAGCGACAGAATTCGCGTTGCAGCATACACATTACATTGATCAGTATATACTTCCTAGGTCAATGTATTCTCTTGTCTTAAGATAGTTTCACAGAAGGAAGGACAGAGTGAGTGTTTCACTTACCGGGATAAGATCTGTTCCAATGCTGGTGATGCGGCATTGAGTATTTCCAAGGGTCGAAATGCAAGTTTGGCCAGAAATCTGTAGCGGGGCTACGCAGCCTAGTCACGCTGTCGGACTTGTCCCCATACTCCCACGCGGTGTTTTCGCCATATAGCTCTGCAATGATGGTGACATTGTCGTGTCCGCATGTTTTCGCATAACTGCGTAGTTGCGCTAGTTCCGTGTCGCGAATCGCGTGGGCCATATCGTCGTCCATCGTGCATCCGTATCTGACCGATACACCGGCCTGGCCAGTCGGGATGTAATACCGTATCTGCCATTCAGTCATGGTGTCTTTCGCCATAAGATCGACGAGGTCGCGCATCGCAGCGATAGGGACGCAGGGTTGTTCTGGTGAGATCCTGGGCCACAGTGAGAGTAGATGGTCGAGGTGGACCGTCGCACGTCGCTTTCCCAGCTCGTGTTCAAGGTATAGGTTCCAAGAGTGCGGAGTATAGTTCTTGATGGCTTGGTGAAGGGTGTCGAGTAAGGCGACTATGTTCCATGTTTCTCCGTTTGCATCATTGAGACGGAAGTCGTCGCTGCCGTCCCACCGGCGGTTTATCGAGACACGCAGAATGTCGATGTGCAAGTGGAAATGCACTTCCATGAAGTCGGTCAGTGATGCTGCAATGGTGTCTGTCGTCTCTTTGCTCAGGCCGTAGTCTTCACTCAGCTCGGTCCCGTAGTCGTACTGCATGCCGGCCATTACTGGGATGTAAGCGACCTGCTTCTCGACGAGGTAGCTCCGCGCTTCCTTGTATATCTGAGAACATGTCTGTAGTAGAGCAATGTACGGGTCGGGTTTGTTGAGATAGTACGGGTTCAAGGGTACGCGCTGGTATTGCTTGTCGAGTGCAAGGTCGTAGATCTGGTTTCGCAGTTCGCCGGAGAGATCAAAGAATGTCTTGCGACCTGGCACGAGCGCTTTCGCGTCTTTGGTGACGATGTCTAAGCGGCTTGTCATGATGAAGTGACGACTGGTCGCGGCTGATTTTTTTCGCGATTCCCGAGGTCTGCAGTCGTGACCGCGTACTGGCGTGGGGTTCGTGTGGGATCGCGTGTCAATTGCGGGGCAACCCAGGACAAGCGATGTGACGACCATCAAGTTTGAAGACATACTCTTTGGCCTACCATCCTCTCAAAACACTGTACTCTCATTTACATACGGTAATTCATCATCATATGCCATTTGACGAAATTCGCAGGACGAGCATTGAGAAAGTTGGCGCACATGAATCCCGCACGTGACTTAGACATTCATCCACTGGTCTCATAGTGTAGCGCAATATCCACTAACCGGCAGAGACTCTCATAATCCATCGCTGAGACAGCTCATGCGCGTATTGAGTCTCGACCGCTGCGAAAGGTCTGACGTCACCACACCACTCCAGACTGTCGCAAGTCCCCTTCACCTCGCCCTCACCTCGTCCCGCACGTCCCTATACTGCCGGCAGAACCACGGGTACCGGCGTGAGCACAGTCCATGTGAAATCCGGGCCCACAGGTTCATCCGGCCGCTCTTGGCAGGCCAGCAGCCGACTATATAAACAGCGTTTCCTGCCTCCCTCCTACAATCCACACGCCCCCCGGGCTATACTCGACTAACTCACAGCAGCTGGCTAACCCCCAGCATCGCCTTCTCGACTGGCTTTTCCCGGGCACGGCTTGGAAGAGAGACTCTTCGACGCATGGTTGCGAGTCATCGAGCGCCGCGAGGTGGGGCGGCCCTCCACAACATTCACTTGTTGTGTTCCTTATGCTTTTTCATTAATGCTTCTGGCTTGCCAGAACATTGAGGAAGAAGTTGGCGGTGTTTGATTTGTTGTGATGTGATCGAGTAAGGTGAAGTGAAAGAAAGTGAAGTGAAGATGAATGCAATATGAATCGAGAAAAGAGTGAGAACAATCGCTACCGTTTACCATTGTGATAGCGACCATCGCTCTTCATGTTGATACCCGGACCATATATCTTCTAGTCGTACAGTCTGTCATCAGAAGAAGAACGAGGCTCCACCAGAACCTCTAATCGGCTCCAGAGCTCTAGAAGGGCTTCATCGCCAATGTCACCAGACAAAGCCTTTTTGATATCCTCAATCTTCCACCCGTGATATTTACTTTCATAATCGGCAATGTAGATACTCGCGATGGTCTCGAACGAGGCAGGGGGGAGGAGATTCTTGTCGCTTCGAGCGCAATGAGCGAGGGCATCGGCGCGGGATTGTTGGTATGCCAACTCTAACCAGTGTCTCTCCAAGTTGACTCGGGTGACACAACTTGCGTGCTGATCTGACGACAAATGTCTATCATAAAACCTTTCGTCCAGCCTCCAAGGGCAGCGTTCGCACAGTGTCTTAGTGTCGGGTTTGAGCTGTGCCTCTGCATATGTCTGTTCTAGTCCTCTGAACTCCCAAAGAATGAGATCCTCTGCCTCGACACAGATGCCGTCTGGACACAGCCGCTGTATCTGCCGTTTCGCTTCTTCGTAATCCTTGTCGTGTTGATCAATCTCATTCTTTGCTCTTTCCGCCTCCATAATCATCCTGTTCAATTCTCCAGTGGAATATTCAATCTCCTCGTCAAGCTCATGATCCTGATATCGTTGTAGAAGTCTCTTGGTATAGTATATGTTGGTCGGATCATCTGGATCATCTTGGTAAGTTCTGATCTGTTGGAAAGCACCTTCGGCCCAGCCTCGTCCTGACGGCTTGTGCTGCGCCCGGATGAAGTCAGCCCGAAACTGATCGATGTCAAGCTTTTCGGGCCAACCGTTCTTGATCAGAAGCGATGATGTGATGTTTTGGGACGGCGGAAGGACGCGCGGATCAGCGGGGTTTGCGGCCACCCATGGTGTCCATGCTGTGCTCCGATATGCGTCTCTGATCCTCCTCAAGAAGGTTGGCGCATCGGTCCATCTCGTCCAATCACGACTGTGCCTGTTCACCGAGAGAATTCTCGTTGAGTTAATCGCTCCAATGACAGGGGTGTCTTCCCATCTGTGACCAGATTGTAGAACAGAGAGGAGTGTAGAATGTATTAATTATTCTATGTACGAAGGAGTGTGCCCTTGTTTATATAGAGAGAAGGAAGCGCTAGTAAGTACGCTAGTAAGTAAATTACGTAAGAGAATGCTTAACTAATAGCCTTTCTAAATCTAAATAGAAAATAAATTAAATAAAAAAAAGAAAGAAAAAATAATTTACTTAAAATAATATACTATAGAAAGAATAAGCTAAATAAGGTATAAGTACTACTAATATTATAGGAGAAGTTAAACCTATTATAAGGTCTAAAGTATAGTAGATCTTTTAGAACTTAATAGTATTAAGAGCTTTAGTTAATATGTTAGTAGAGTTATCTTTACTATTAATCTACTAAATTATAATATCTTTATTACGTACGTAATTACGTATAAAGTAATACTATATATTAATATACTTACTCTACTAGTAGAACTCTAGATTCTTAGTAAGCTTAATAGTAGACTTATTATTAATATAAATAGAAATAAAGTTAAAAATAATACTAACTCTAAGATTATTAATAAAGTTATAAATCTAAATAGCTTCTTTAATAGCTTTACTAAGAGTAATATACTTAGCTTTATATGTAAAGAGTACTACAATCTTTTATAAGCCTAAAGACTAGAAGATAGAACCTCTAGTAAGTGTAAAAATATAGCTAGTTATAAATTACTAGGTATTTAGATATCTAGCCTAGTTAGCGTCTATATATCTATATAGACTAGGTTCTTACTTTATATACGTAATACTAATCTAAGAAGTACTATTAATATATATATAGGCCTATATAATGCTATCTAAATAAGACTATATAGAATAGCTATTAAATTATTTATATAATAAAGCTGCGTAGATAAGATTAATATACGTTATAGCTAGTAAGTAGTTAAGAAAGCTAAACTTCTATAAATACGCCTTCTAGAAGTAAGGTAAAGAAGTAGCGTTCTTATTATTAGCTAGTTTTATATAGTAGTTATATAGCGTGCTTATAGTAGGTAGATTTATAAGCTTATACTACTCTAGTACGCGTTATATATATTTAGATTAGTAAATAGTAGTTATATTTAATTAGTAATTAATATATATACTAAGATATAAGGCGTCTAGTTCTAACGTAATAGTAAATAACTTAGATAAGTTATCTTTAAAATAATTAATAATACGCTAGTATAGTGTATAGATTTAAATATTATCTATATAGATAGATATAATAAGTAACTTAGTATTATAGATATAGATATAAGAGTTATATAAGAAGATATAAAATTCTATTATAATAAGTTAGAAGGTAAGAGTCTTATACTAGCTGCGTAGAGACTAAATAAGGCTATATAGAGATTTTCTTAGTAGCTATATATAACTAGTAGGTAGAATAACTAGAGAAGAAGGTATATAGTAGACTATCTTATAAAGCGTAGTAT